CTTTTAAATACCCCCAGGGATGGGGACTCGACCCCTGCCCTGGGCAGCCCCTTCCAGTGCTCAAACCAGGCTTGTCTGGGAAGCGTGCCCCAAGCGTGGGCTCCAGGAGCGGCCCCTGGTTGAACAGCCCTAACAGACCACCAGCCTTCAGTTATTTAATACATGGTTTATTGAGCTCTGTTGACTAAATTTCCCAACTGACACACACCCACCCCCCGCCCCGCCAAGCCCCAGTGCATCACTAGTGAAATCGCAGTTGTGCTGTGGGAGGAACAGCCCTTGCTGGCCCATGGCTGATCCACCGGGAGAGGGTGGGGGAACCGAAATCCCTCCCTGAGCAGTCCCAGGAGTAATTTGCCACCGTGGGGCTGTTTACAGCAGTGTTTCCACCGAGCCTTCTTCTCCCCATGGCAGCCAACAGAGGAGGTGCGTTAGGACCCCTTAAGAGCACCAATGCCTGGGACATACGTGCCAACATCCTCTCCCCTGTCCCTGCCTGCCTGAGGGACCACAGGGCATGGACCACCCAGGTCCCAGCAAGCCATGTGCCCAAGGGGATGGTGGCAAGCGGGTGGCATCGAGCTGGGGCCTTGGCTCAGCCAGGGGGAAGGAGTTCAGCTACCAGATGTGGGATCACGTAAGAGCTATGAAACCACAGGTATGTAAGCCAAGAGCTGCTCACACCTTCGGAAGCACTGGATCGCAGCTCGGGACCATGTCGTTGGGTCTGAGGCAACCAGAGATGCGGGGCCACGCTGCCGTGGGAGCGACTCACAGGGCACTCGCGAGCTTTGGGTGCAAAAGATGGTGCGTAGGTGCTGCCTGGGCACCAGGCGCTCCCTGCCCCCCAGCTGCTGGGGAGGGAATGGTTTTCCTCCCAGAAACCTGCAGTGTACGTTCACAGAGGCAGCCAAAGCACCTCAGTGCCAGCCAGCAGTCTCACAGGCGAGCTGGGGTAGGGCTGCAGGTCCCAGCCAGAACCTGCTCTGGGGCAGCGGGAGCCCCGGCCTGCACTTGAAGGCTCAGTAATAGGAGCCAAGGAGGGTTGAGACCTTGCGCAGGAGCTCCTTGTGGTTGGTGTGCACAGGGATCCTCTTGTCCAGTGCCTGCCAGCGGATGCACAGCTCCGGGTCACAACCCTGGAGGAACTGGAAGGGGACCGGAGGCGTCAGAGTATCTGCTGCTGGTGGGGGGCATTCTCAACAGGACCTCCCGCCCCCGGCCTCCTGCCCTTTTTTTTCTTTTGGAGCCCCCAGCACAGTGCCACCCCATGTTCATCCCCATGTCCTTCCTCCACTGCATGCATGAGGGTGAGATCTGGCTCTGGAGATCTGGCTGCCCTGCCCGCGCTGGCTGAGAGCTGCGGAGGCAAGGGGCCCATACCGAATTCAGACGCTTCATCTCCACATCATTCTGGTTGTCAAAGTGGATGCTGACAGCCACCGTCTCCACCCAGGCATTATCCGTGTTGCGGGGGTCGTCCAGATACCCCTTGTGTACCTGTGCGTGGTGAAGGTGGTGCCACCCAAGCAGAGCCCTTGCCGCCTCTCTGAGGCACCACAGGGGTGCTGGGGCATTGCCCCACAGCTCCTCCACCCCACCGGAGACCGGCGCTCCGTGCCCGCCACATGGGGACCATTTGCGGCAGGGGGAGGGGCGGGGGGGGGGGAGGCCATGGCAGCATGCCTGCACCCCCCAGCCATTCCCCCCCAGTGGGAGCAGTGGCCAAGGGGTGATGTGCCCTGCCCTGTGCCCTGGGGGCGCCCCCATGCCCCCATGGTGTCTGTATGTCCCCGTACCAGTGGTACCCGCGTGCCCACGTACTGCTGTAGTGCCCCCAGGACATCTGCATGCCCCCCCACCTCGGTGCCTTGTTTCAGCAAGTTCTGGAACTGGGGCCAGAACTCCCGGCGCAGGACCCACTTCAGCTTCAGTGGCAGCGTCTCACCCGGCTCCAGCGACCCCTGCACCCAAAGCAGGTGTCAGCCCACCACCGGCCTGGCCTCCCGCGCTGCCGCCTGCTCGGCCGTCAGGCAGTTGCCACCACAGCGGAAGATGCCGCTGGCTCTGGTGGGGGGGAGCAAGCAGCTCTGGTGCCTCCCTCCTGCTCCTGCCAGAATTCCTCAGCTCTGCCCCAGACGCCTCCGAGTTTGCCTAATTCAGCGCCTGCACCTCGCCGTCGCAGGACGCTATGGTGATGGCTTATGGCAATCACAAAGGACGTGCAAGAACTGAGGAGGAGGAGGAGGAGGAGGCAGGGGGTTGGGGGGGCCATGTAACCTTGCCACTGCTCCTTGGCAGCAGAGCCCGGCGCCGGGACGCTCTGCTGGAGGGACGGCCTGGGCAGGGCTGTGACTCCTATCTGTGCCCCTGCCTTTTCCGCAGGGCATCCAGCCATCGGCCGGGGCAGCCCCCATCTCCCCAGACCCTTCTGCGCCAGCTGGTTCCCACCAGCTCTTACCCCGGGCAGAGCCCAGACGTCCGATAGCGGGTACTGGGCTACCAGGACTTCCAGCATCTTCTTCAGGCTCTTCCTGATGATGGACCCATCCAAATTCCTCCTCCAGCTGTGAGGGAGGCCCCCGTTACGCTGCAGCTAGGCTCTGCCCCCTGCCCAGCAGCCATGGGTTGTGCCAGGTCTCTCCCAGGGGGCTTGGTGCCCCCGTTTCCCATCCCAGCCCTGTCCTGGAGCAGGGACGCCTCCATCCCCAGGCACTCACCGGGTCACAACAGGGTGCAGGGCATGGTTGGGCCCAAAGCAGTGCAGCCTCCCGCGGCCCCGCAGCCCCGTCCTGCCCATGGGGTTCCTGGTGGGGAGAGAGGGAGTGGGCTGGGATGGCACCGGCGTCCCCCTGCACACCCCACCATGCCCATCAGAGCCCTGCACCACTTCCCCACATTCCCCACCACTGCCCTGCACCTTGTCTGGGGTGCTGGTTGGTTTTTTTTTGGGGGGGGGGGAGCCCTGAAGACACCATGTGCCGTTATCCCTGCCCCACCAGGGAAGTGGAAAGGGGATGGGTGCACCCGTCCCCCCCGAATTCTCTGTCTCCCTGGGGCTGTCCCTGCAGCCGGGCGCCCCAGCTCCCACCCCTGGCCCCTGTGGCGAGTGCACTCACAGGGGCAGCCCATCCCGCACGGCGTAGGGGCCGTGGAAGCTCTGCCGGTCAATCAGCCCGTCCATGGTGTTGTAGTTGATCTTCAGGAGAGACTCCAAGGAGCTGGGGGGCAGGAGGTAGCCAGGCAGGGAGAGCTGGCGGTGCCAGCTGGGCGCCGGGGCAGGGGAGCAGGGAACCACAGGGGACACTCACGGGCTGAACGGGTCCTGCCCAGCCATGTCCTTGTGGTCAGCCGAGTAGGTGGGGGGGTCGTAGAGTGGGAAGTCTGCCTGCAGAGCACGTGGCCATTGCGTCCCTGCAGGGACCGGCACCCCCAGGGATGTTTTCCGCCCTAGCCCCTTCCTCTGCCCAGCTTGTGGCACCATTCCCCAAGGCATGCAGGGGCTCCGGGCCCTGCTGGGGGTCTCAGCAGGAGGGTCTATGCCTCTCGCTCATCCCCCTGTAGAAGCCAGTGCCAGATCCTGTCCCTGCTTCAGGAAATGCAGGAGCAAGCACTTGTCCCCTCTGCCTCCCAACCAAGCGTCCCCAGGCCCCCCCAGCGCTGTGGGTCCCAGCAGGGACGATGCCTCCCCTTGTCCCCATCGGAGCAGCTGCCCCAGGAAGCCTCTGGTCCCAGAGCTGGGAAGAAGCGGAGCTCCCAAGCATGGCACAGGCATGACATCACCCGTGCCTCTTCCCACTGCTGTCAGGATCTGCCCCATCACCCTCCCGGCCCCACTGCTGGGGCTCGCAGCTCCTACCTCCCAGGGGACCTTCTCATCCGGCACAGGGAAGCGGAGGGTGTGAGACCCTGGGTAAAGGAGATTTCGGGCAAGCACGTGGAATGGGGGCTGGCTCTCCTCGGGCTTCCCCTCCAGGTCAACCTCCTTCCTCTCCGAGGCTTTGCTGGAGCCTGTGAGGCAGACACAGACAGGGAAGCCCCGCAAAGCAGGGTGCTGAGCCTGGTGCTGCAGGCTGTGGCGCTGCTGAGGGGCTGGCTGGGTCTCTCCGTGGGGACACTGATGTCCCCTGAAGGCCCGGCCCCTGGCATCCCTTCCAGCAGGCGCTGGAGGAACTGCCTGGGGATCAGAGAATCATGGAACCGTTTGGGTTGGAAAAGCCCTTTAAGATCACCAAGCCCAACTGTTCCCCTAACCCTGTCATCCCACCACTAAACCCTGGCCCTAAGCACCTCCTCTGCCCAGCTTTTAAATACCCCCAGGGATGGGGACTCGACCCCTGCCCTGTAAGGGCTCCCCTCAGCCTCCTCTTCTCCAGGCTGAACACCCCCAGCTCCCCCAGCTGCTCCCCATCAGCCTTGGGCTCCAGACCCCTCCCCAGCTTCCTTGCCCTTCTCTGGACACGCTCCAGCCCCTCCATTCCTTGGTGTCACCTGCAAACTGACTGAGGGTGCCCTCAATCCCCTCGCCCAGGTCATTGATAAAGGCGTTAAGCAGGGGCTGGAGGAGCTAACACAGCACCCAAACCTTCCTGGGCCAAAGGAGCTTCCTCCTCGCTGCTTAACAGAGGGGTATGAGGGGAGCCGGGGTGGGGATGGGCTGTGCTTACCCACAGGTGGCACATCCTTGCCCGAGCCAAAGCCGTTGCCCTGCAGCGCCTGCATTATCCACCGCAGGGCCTGGGCACTCTGCTGCACCTGCGGGGGACAGGGGAGGGTCAGCCCCCCCGGGCCCTGGCCGCCCCAAGTCCCCCTTGCCCCAGCCCGGCAGGATGCAGCCCCTGCCTTCCCCCAGGGCAACGGTGAGCCTTGCCCTGCCCTGACACTCGGCTCGGAAAACCATGTCCAGGGAATCACTATTTTTTTTTTTACAAAGCAAGTGGAAATGGAGGTGGAAACAGCAGCTGTGCTTGCATCCGTCGCCGAGGGGAGATGCCAGGGCCCATCGGGCTCCCTGGGCACCCCACCGCTTGTACAGGGGGTAGAAGAGCCGCATGGGGAGGGCACTGGGAGTTCCCCATCCCCAGAAGGGCTGGAGGGTCCTCTCGGGCCATGGAGAAGAGCTGGGTCAGATCTGACTGCTTGGGTGACCGGCAGAGGCAGGAGCTCATCCTGCCTCCACCCCACTCCCTTCAGAGTCAGACAGGATGTTTCCCATGAATATTTTCCTCTCGGGTGCTGTTGTTTTGGAAACTCAAACTCTTTGAATCGGGATTGTTTCAAGGGGGCTTTCTCTCATGCTCTGGTTCAGTCAAAACCCCCACCTTTCTCAGGCTGGGTGCTCAGCTGCAGCCTCACCTGCTCTTCCAGACCGGCCAGTCTCTGCTCCACCAGCCCCCTCCTCTTCACCCGGTCCAAGTCCAGCAGCTCTGCCAGCACATCAACCCTGGAGGGACAGCACGGAGAGGAACCCCCTCGGCAGCCGCCCCTGCACCAGTCCCGGCTCCTCCCTGCCCAGGATGCTGGAGGACAGAAGGGCGTCCCTGTCTCAGGAGTGCGGGTACCTTTGCGCAATGTCTCGGATCTTCTGCTCTGTGTTCTGCTTCTCCTGGCACTGCCGGTGCTGCAGGTAGCTCTCCTTCAGGTACATCTCCCAAGAGAGGAGGGCAGCTTCTTCATTCTTCTCCAGCTTCTCTTCTGCCAGGGGAAGGGGATGGCAGTGCCATCAGGTCCCCAGGCATCCCAAACCCGGGTGCCACAGCCCAGATGCCAAGCCTTGTCCCCCAGAGTTGGGTACTGTGCCCCGGGGAGGGGGTGGAGGGGAGGTACTAGTCCTCACTGAGCTGTTTGTGGCGCCTAGCTGGCCTGCGGAGCAAGCCTCGCCGGACCAGGAGCTGCAGGTGGTTGAGGAGGATGAAGGGCGGGGGCGCAGGCGGGCGGCCGTGGTACTCCTCAATCAGGTCGTGCCGCTGGAACTTCCAGATCTGGTCCGTGTGCTCCTGGACCTGCTGGAAGGTGTAGCTGGGGCAGAGCCCAGGTGTCAGCTGTGCTGTGGGGATGAGGGGGCACATCGTGCCCCAGGTCCTATCTCCCTGATCAGCCCTGGCCTGTACCCGCTCCTTCCACCATATCTATAACCCCCCCAAAGCCACCCCTCAGCATGCACCATGGCCAAGCCTGCGAGCAGAGCCAGGTCAAGCCACTGCCGGGACCATGGGACCAGGTCAAACTCACTTGAACATGGCGATGAGGAGGTTGAGGAGGAGGATGTTGGTGAAGAGCAGGTACAGGCACAGTAAGATGACTGTCAGCCACTCAGGGAAGATGGGTTTCTTGTTGTCCTCGTTCGTCTCTGGGCACTTGGGCTTGTAGGGGTCAGTCCCGTTGGGGCTGCACTGGTCAATGTTGAAGTTGACTCCTGCAAAAGAGCACAGCACAGCTCTGCCGCAGCCAAACCTTGCGGCGCTTCAGGGAGCACCTTGTGCTCTCTGAAAGCAGCCAGCAGCAAGGGAGCTTGGCTTTGACCTCCATCTGCGCCACCCCAGGTGGTCTGCTCGCTGCCGCCAGCTTTGCGGCTGTGGCACCCAGCTGGATCGACTCACACTCCTGTGCCTTTGCTGGGTGCTCTCCTGCTCACTCGGGCAGCCGCAGCCCCTGGGTTTGCATCGGTGGCAATGCCCCCTGCGTGCTGGAGCAGGGTCCATCCCCACACCCCGTCGGTGCTTCCTCCATGTTGTGCTTGGGGAGGAGCCCGGTGCAGGACTTCCCCAGGCCAACATGGTGGGAGCTAGGCAGCCTGCAGCATGAGCCTGGCACCCCTCGGCATTGTCACTGCCACCCTGCCCACACCAGCCGGCATCCCTTACCGTCGATGTAGGAGGGAATCTGCCCAAAGATGGTCAGGTAGGAGTGGTAGACTACACCACGGAAAAGCCACTCCACGCGTTCCTCGTTGTGGATCAGGATGGCCTGCTTGGCCACCCCAAAGGACACTACCCACACTGCCAGCAGGAAGAGGAAGAAGAAGACATCCTTCATCTGCAAAAACAGAGGGGAAGCAAAATTGTGTCCCGGAGCAAACGCCACCCCAGGATAGGGCAAGATGGGTGGCACGTCCACCCCACGCAGGCATCAGTCTGCTCTAGCTGAGCCCCCTGGCAGGGTGGAGGGAAGCTCTCACCATGCGCTTCACAATGATGATCTTGGGCCCCAGCGTTTTGCTGACTGTGAAAATGTGCATCAGACGCAGGCAGAAAATGATAAAAGCCAGGGAGAGTATGATGCGCCCGGGATATAAAGTTGATGGGATCAGCCTGGGTACAGAAGGGAGGAAAGGAAACACCTCAGTGCCACGAGGGTGGGTTTTTTTTCCTGATCACGCAGCACTGCAGTATCAATATTGTGGTATCTGCAATATCAGCGAGCTTCCCCAGAGTGAGAGTTGTGGTGTGAAAAACATCGCTCCTAAAAGCAGCTAAAAGCAGAGACAAACTGGCCGGGGTGAATCGCACAGCCGCAAAAATCCTCACTGGCCTTTGGAAGAAGAAGTTGCAATTAAATACCCTGCGCCAATTCTCACGCTGGTTTGTAAGCCCCCAGCTGCAGCTTGAGCCAGGCTCTGCCACCCACCTGCAAGTCAACCCTGTGACAAAGACGAGGATGGCGCAGATATCCAGCTTATTCCAGAAATCCTTGAAGTAGAGGGAAGCCATTTTCATGATCCCCAGCCCATCCGGATCATACAGAAGCTGTTGGGAAGAGAAGAGGGGTTGGCCTTGCACCCAAGGCCTGGTACAACGCCCACGTGCCTTGTAGTGGGGAGGGACCTCACGGACCCGCTGGCCACCACTGGACCCTCTGGCCTACACGAAGTTCACCTGAGCCTACGGGGTTTTCTATGAGGGCATGGAAGGAGCATGGGGCGAGATACCTGAGGACATGGGGCTCTTTAGTCTGGTGAAGAAAGACACTGAGATGGTGAAGCAAAAGCTGATATAAATCAAATGTCAAACAGAGCCTGGAAATGCTCCTGGGAATAAATGCTCAAGGAAGGAGTTGGTCCCTCCATCTCCTGACGTTTTCAGCTTGAAGGAGCACGTCTTGCTGCAAGTAGCCGGGGCCAAGCCAGAGGCAGCCAAGGAGATTCTCTGTCCTCAGAGACGGGGAAATCTGGCAGCCCCTTGCTCTGGGACCGCTCTGAAGGGATGGTGACACGAGGGGCGGCATGGGAAGGCGAGCTAGGTAGGACCTTCCAGGAGCAGCCCCAGGGGTGTCCTCCCTACTCTTGCCTCCTCCCAGCCGCTGCCCCGCCTGCCCTGTACCTGGCGGATCTCCTCGCACACCAGGGAGAAGAGCCAGAAGTAGATGAGATACTCCCGCCAGGATGGCAAGGGCTGGAAGTCAACCATCAGGACGTAGGCAAAGAGCAGGAGGAAGGTGAAGTAGGAGAGGATGTTCATGTGGAAGATGACGACGGGTGCTGTGAAGAAGGCTCGGAGGCGTGTCAGGCAGCCCGTGGGCTGCAGCCTCTTCTCCCTGCGGGGGGCAGGGGGTGGTGGAAGTGGGGCCCAGGGAGATGCCACTGCAGCTTCCCCCAGCCAGCCTTGGTGCACGCGTGCCCCGGCTGCAAGAAGTACCTGAAGGTGATGAGGCTGGTGTAGAGAAGCGGGAAAAACAGCATGCACGCGACCACCCGCCAAAGCCCGTTGTCTACGCACATCTTCCCCCACCAGACTTTGGTTAGAAAGGCCTGTGAAGAGGGAAGAAGAGGAGCGCTGGTGACAGAAGCCGCCCCCGTCAGAGTGGGGCTGTAGGGCAGAGCCCCACCGCTGCCAACGAGGGACAGGGAACACTTGGGCACTTCCCCTCCAAGCACTACTGCTGGGAACCTACCTGGACGCCCCCGTGGGACACGAAGTTCATGTTCTTGGCCTCCAACGCCAGCTGCAGACAGGTCGTCTTTCCCCAGGCCTCTGAGACGCGGGTGAGGAGCTTCTGGGCTCTCTCTTCATCCTTGCGGTAGCAGTCTGTGAACACGCCTGGCCGGGCAGGGGCCAGGGAGATGAGGCTGAGCTCCGGGGTCAGCGCGGTGCTCAACAAGGCGCCTGCTGAGTCGCCCTTTGTAGCAGGATCTGGACATCGCACCAGGCAGTGACACCCCCCTGCACTCCCGCCACCACCCAGGCACAGCCGCTGCAGCACCACCGCCCTGACCGCAAGGAGGGCACCCCCTGTTTGGCACCACCCATCACCCCCAGACACCTCCTGGGCAAAGCCAACCAGCCCAGCAGGGCACGGGAGCAGCTGAGGGTCACTGGTCCCCTCCCACTCACCGATCGCCTTTTGCTCGTACTGCTCAGCCAGAGCCAGCATGTCATCGGTGGTGTCGGTGTCGTCCTCCTCCTTGGCGAGCTCCTTCAGGATTTTGCTGCAAGCCAGTGCGGCTGCCATGCAGTCCTGGCTCTGGAACAGAAGAGGCCAGAGAAAGCATGAGGCTCTGCACCCCATCCTGCTGGTCCCGGTGGTCCTGCCAAGGCTTCCGCGGCTCCCAGGGGAGGGAAGGGGGGGGCCCCCAAGCAGTCTGCAGCTCAGGATGGACAGCTTATAGAATCGTCTGGGTTGGAAAAGCCCTTTAACCTCATCAAGCCCACCTGTTCCCCTAACCCTGCCAGCCCACCACTAAACCCTGGCCCTAAGCACCTCGGCTGCCCAGCTTTTAAATACCCCCAGGGATGGGGACTCAACCCCTTCCCTGGGCAGCCCCTTCCAGTGCTTGACAGCCCTTGTGGGGAAGGAATTTTTCCCAATGTGCAACCTAAACCTGCCCTGGCACAACTTGAGGCCGTTTCCCCTCGTTCCATCACCTGTTCCCCGGGAGCAGAGACCAACACCCCCCAGGCTCCCCCCTCCTGTCAGGCAGTTGTAGGGAGCGATAAGGGCTCTTTTGGTGAAGAAATTTTTCCTGGTATCCAATCTAAACCTCCCCTGACACAACTTGAGACCATTTCCTCTTGTCCTATTTCTTGTCACTTGGGAGAATAGACCAACACCCACCTCACTACACCCTCCTTTTTCATGGTGGTAGAAGGTGATAAGGTCTCCCCTCAGCCTCCTCTTCTTCAGAATGAACAGCCCCAGTTCCCTCAGCCACTCCTCAGAAGATTTGTGCTCCAGACCCCTCACCAGCTTCGTTGCCCTTCTTTGGACACAGTCCAGCACTTCAATGTCTTCTTGTAGCGAGGGGCCCAAAACTGAACATAGTATTTGAGGTGTGGCCTCACCAGTGCTGACTACAGGGGCACGATCACTTCCCTGCTCCTGCTGTCCACACTATTCCTGATAAAAGCCAGGATGCTGTTGGCCACCTTGGCCACCTGGGCACACTAACAACTGATATTCAGCCACCTGTCGACCAACATCCCCAGGTCCTTTTCTGCTGGGCAGCTTTCCAGCCCCTCTTCCCCACACCTGTAGCATTGCATGGGGTTGTTGTGACCCCAGGGCAGGACCCGGCCCTTGGTCTTGTTGACCCTCACCCAACTGGCCTGAGCCCATGGCTCCAGCCTGGCCAGGTCCCTCTGCAGAGCCATCCTCCCCCCCAGCAGATTCACACTCCCCTCTTGCCGTGACGAGGGCCGAGCCCCGCTCCCCGCTGGTGCAGGGGCAGTAGGTAGCCCTCTTGGGTCCTGCTTGGCTGGGGCTCAGGCTCGGGCTCTGCTCTGGGCCAGCTCGCCTGCTGTCCCACATGCCAGTGGGTGTGATCTTTCCTCTTGGGGCTGGGAGATTTGACTCCCTCTGAGCCTCCCAGCAGGGACCAACAGCTCTGGGCTGTGATACCTGTGCCCAGATGATTTCTGCCAGCTCCTTGCGGTTCTGGACCACGGCCCAGATAAGCAGGTCACGGACTGGGTCCATGGTGAAGGTGACGCGGCCAGCAGAGCGCCTGTAGAGGGACCGGAGACTGGACCCCTGAACCTGCAAAGTGTGGGATGCTCAGGCCCGTTCCCCTGCCAAGAGGCTGCCGAAAGCGGATGGCCCCCCAGCACAGAACCGCCCCTGACCCCTGGGCGCCTGCCTCCACCACCTACAGAAGGGCACTCCCTGCAGATAGCGGGGTGGCCGAGACTGGTCTCATCCTGGGAATGCCACCTTTTCTAGGGCCTGGATTGTGTGGGGATGCGCCCATCCCACCTGCCGCACTCGACCCACTGGGTCCTGCCCACTGGCATCATGCAGCCACCCGGTGCTGTGGCCATAAGAGGGTGGGAGTCGCACCCTGAATGCAGGGTGGATGGCTTGGGCTGGACTTTAAGGGACTTTTAAGTGGGAATCTCAAGCAGGCAGGAGGACAGAGACCCAGCCGCAACCCCCAGGGCGGTTTCTTGAGCCAGCGTCCCCCTCCCCAGCGCAACCCTGCCGCCATGTAACCTGCAGCTGCGTACATTCAGCTTGATGTGTGGGACTGGGATGGAGAGCCGGGGCCGCTCCGCCTGCTTGGGCTTGGGGTAGAGAGGCTGTGTAGAGCAGCCCAGGAGCTCCCGCAGCACCTGGGAGACGTGGTGCAGTTGGATCCGTGGCATTTTGGAGCCAGCTGCGTGCTCTCGCTCCTCCAGCAGGACCTTCTGCAGCTTGCTGTGGAACAGGCAGGAGGGTGCCATGTTGTCGTAGAGGTAAACCAGGGTATCCCAGGTGACAAACTCCTTGAGACGCACTCCCTGCTCCAGGAATAGCTTCACAAACTCCGGCTTGTTGGAGATCAGGGCTGCTGCCATCACGGGGTGGAGATCTGTGGGCTGGCATGGAATCACAGCATCGTTTGGGTTGGAAAAGCCCTTTAAGATCACCAGGCCTAACCACTAACCCTACCCTGCCATCCCGCCACTAAACCCTGTCCCTAAGCAAGGCCAGAGGCAGAGGTGAGGGGCTCCATGGCCCCCCCGAGCAGGGCCCCACCATGCCCCTTGCTCAGACCGGGGGGAAGATTTTATGCCCGAGCACGCAAGGTGTTTCTGGGTGCAGGGAGGTGCCGGGGCTTGGGGGACATCCCCCAAACTTCTGGGTTAGTTTGCCCTCTCCTCTGGCAGCAAAGGCCTCTGCTCCCTTGGCTGCTAGGAGGAGGGATGGGGTGGGGTAGAGGGTTGAATCATAGAATCACTTAGGTTGGAAAAGACCCTGCTCACGAGCGTGCACTGTAGAAATGGACGGGACCTCACAGGCTTGTCCTCTGTGCACAGCTCCAGCTGAAGGACCACAGCTACGATCTGGCTGCTCCCCGTGGCCACCCCCTTCAGCCTTTCTGCAGGTTTCCTTTCCCAGGCAAATGTTTACTTGTGCTTACACGTGAAAGGGAAGCCGGTGGGTAAGGGGGAAGATGTCCCTCCTGGCAGGAGGGCACCTGCTGACCTTCTCTTGCAGCTTGATTTCAGCCTCAGCTTTTCATACTGGCCACATGGGTCCAGGGCTGCAGCACCTTGGAAGAGCCCTGTATCGCTAATCCCAGAGCTTGCCTCATCCTCCCCTCCCAGCAGAGGTGCAGACCTTGTTCAGGCTGTGCCTATTCACACCATCAAAGGTTTCCCTCTTTGGGATCCTGGTTCCCACCAGCCCTTCCCAGTCCCACGAAAGTTATGTGAGCTAGGGAATCCAAACTGTCAAATGGAATAGGAAAATCCCCCCCGTGTCCCACAGCCCCAGCAGAAAGGACAGAGAACCCTGCTCATCTTCGGCTTCTCGACAACCAGATCAGGTGTGGGACAGTGGAGCTGGCTTCTGCTGCCCCAGGGAAGTGCCAGGCTGGGTGAGATGAGTTCGGAGGCGAGTTGCCATCTGACAACTCGAGCAGCGACTGCAGGGCAGAGCTGGCAGGGGGTATTTTTGGCTCTAGGTTGGTGGATTGTCTTTAAAAGAGACCGGTTTCAAACAAAATAGCAAGCAATCGCCTTTGTAAGCAATTGTAAGGCAAACGGGACCTTCACGAGCAGTGAATCGCAGGGTGAGCTCAGCTCCTGCTCCACGTGTTTGTACTTTTGAAAGACAGGACAGATTAAGAGCCCCTGGCAGCGTGGTGGGAGCACAGGGTCCAAGAGAAATGCCCTCAAAAACTCTCCCGAGGCACAGTCGAGGTGAATGGTGCCCTCCATATCCACAGCCCTCCTCAGGTGGGACCTGACAAACTGTAAGCCTGACCAGACAAGCAGCACAGGTACTGCCTTGCCTTCCATTCGTGGTCGTCCGTGAAGATCTCACTCCGAGCGATGTCCACCCTGTTCCAGGCCACAGCTAACTTCAGCTGGTGGTCCCAGTTCTCGTGGCCAAAGTGGTCCTGGTTTCGGGATGCTGCACGCCAAGTGCATGTGTTAGAAGAGAGGACCATGTACACAGGGAGGAGATCCCACCTGGAAGCCCTCCTGGAGGCCTGGCCCTTTGGGAGAAACATCTCTCCCCAATCAGCTAAGCATCATGAGGTTTGGGGACCCCTTTGGTGACCCCATAAGTCCAAGCAGCAGCAGGACCCCCACCCCCTTAATCTCGCCCCATCCTCTCAAGCAGCTCCCCAGCCCTCACCTTTGAGCAGGGCCTGGAGGATGGCCACATCCACGTCCTGCTGGCCGTATTTGCCCTCTCTGAAAATGGTCAGGAGCTGCCGGCTCCGCACTATGTCTTGGATCTATGAGGAGAGTCGTGGGCAAGCAATCAGCAGCAGCATCTTCCCCCTGCCACTTCCCACAGAGCCCTGTCCTGTGCAGGGCAATTCCCAGCTCCCCTCGGGTCACCCGCAAACCCTTGCTGCTGCATCCCCCGTCCCAGCTGGGGTTGGTCCCACATGGTACCTGTCTGCCCAAAGTTGAGCAGGCAGTGGAGGAGCTGAGCTCGAGCCCCTGGGGTGCCCACCAGGACAATGCTGGGCACAGCTGGGGGGAGAGGGATGGTCGGCAGAGGATGAGCCTTACACTTCACGCTGGGAGCCTTGCTGCTCATGGGCAAGGACCCCTGCAGGGACCCCTTTGACCTCCACAAGCTCAGCGAGAGGAGCTGCCTGCCCGCAAGAGGCTCACCTTCTTGGTCCACTCCACCAGCTTGCCCTCAGTGAAGAGCTCATAGGTGTCATGGAAGAACACACTCAGCTTCTTCTGGATCAAGGCAATGGTTATCTTGGGCACAGGCAGGCTGGCCACCTGTGCAATGACATCGGCCACGCGCCCAGACCCTTCCACAATCACACAGGGGGTCCCATTGGTGATGGCGTTGTAGATGGTCTGCGAAAGGGCGGGGAGGCTGGTCCTAAGCCCACCCAGAGGCCAGCAGACCCTCTCTGAGCCTGAGGCCCATGCTGGTGCTCCGCAGCACTCCCGTCCAACTGCCTTGCACCCAGGTGAGAGCAACACCCTGGGCAAGGAGCCACCCCATCCCACCCTGCCACCTCCCCCCAGCTCCTCCAAGAGTGGGCAGGAGCAGCTCCTTACGTCGAGTGTCCCGGGGCCTCCTTCCAGCACCACGCACACAATGGGGATCTTGATGGCAACACCTGCAGGGAAGCAGAGCTCAGGGTCACCCCCCCATGGGGCATCCCCCCCTCCCCACTGTGCAGCTGGATGCCATCCCCGCTGAGCGGTAGGATGTGAAAGGCAAGGTAGGAGCACCGTCCCCGACGTGCCTGGCTCCAGGAGAGAGGGGAGGCAATATCCTGGCAGCTGTGCTGCTGGAGTGTGTCTGTGCGTGCGTTAGAATAGAAGCTCATCCGCACAGCGAGAAGGTACCACCTGGAAGCCCCCTTGGAGGCCTGGCCCTTTGGGAGAAATGACTCTCCCCGATCAGGTCAGCATCACGAGGTTTGGGGACCTATTTGGTGACCCCGTAAGCCAAGCAGCTAGCAGAGAATGGCTCTTTGGCTTGTGTCAGCTGAGGAACCAGGTTCCATGTTCATCATGACAATCGTCCCAACCCCCTTGCCTGGATCCCCGGAGGGAAACCACAGCCCCCTCTCCCACTGGAGGCCAGGATGGGCTCTGCTTACCAACAGGTGGCCCATCCCACCAGCTGCTCTCCCCTGCCTTGGGGCTTGCCCTGCGTTGCCATTACCTCCTTTCACCTTGGTCTGCTCCGAAATGAACTTCTCCAGTCTGGTCCTCAGGGGTATTTCCACCCCATACCTCCCGTGGGTCCCATCGTCCACCAGGATGAAGTGGGAGTGGTTGCTGTCGAGGCATGAGAGGCTGCCTTGGTTCTCCTCATCCAGAACGTACTCCGCTGGAAAGCCACCCTGTACGGTGCAGGAGGAGAAACTCTAGGACAAGCCTGGCAGGCCTGCACAAGGGTCCTCCTAGCAGAAGCGCAGCACCCACGCAAGACACCGGGTCGGGCAGAGGGGCTACTCGGCAAATGTCAACCCGGGGCCACCGCTCCTTCTGGTGCAGCTGGGTTCTACCATAGAATCATAGAATCATTGAGGCTGGAAAAGCCCTTTAAGCTCATCAAGTCCAACTGTTCCCCTAACCCTGCCATCTCACCACTAAACCCTGGCCCTAAGCACCTTGTCTGCATGGCTTTTAAATACCCCCAGGGATGGGGACTCGACCCCTGCCCTGGGCAGCCCCTTCCAGTGCTTGACAGACCTTTTGGTGGCTACCAGGGCTGCTGGCCACAGGCATGTCTTGAAGCACCCCTTCCCACCACATTCCTTGGCAGGACTTCCCCGGCAGCCCAGGCAAAGCAAACACACCTCCAGCCCTGCCTGGCTCACCATGGGGCAGATGAGGCTCTCCCGGTTGTACACCGTCCCCCAGGTGGCTATGCCAATGGTGACGATCTCGCCCTCCTTGTGGCTGCAGCTCAGGATGAAGTCTCGCACCGCCTCTCCCACCTGTTTCATCACACCAGCGTGGGACCCCCCTGTGATGATCCAGGCCCCTAAAGGTCAGAGAGGGGCTTGGGAAGGGAGAGGCTCTGCTCGCAGCAACCTCTGAGCATCCCCCTACATGGCTGCAGGGATACCTGGTCCTCAGAGATACTCCATCCCCCAGAAGACGTCTTCCTTGCTCCAGAAGACGTCTTCCCTGCCCACTACATCAAGCCCTGGCAGCACAGGAGATGCCTTCTTCAGCACAGCATTGCATCTCTCAGTCCAGCTCCCTATGACCCCATTTGCAGCGACTGAGCAAGAACACCCCATCTCTGGTGGTGCGAGTCCAGACAGGGACCTCCAGGCCTCCTGGGCCAGCTCAGCATCTCCAGGACGGCCCAACTCACCAAACCCTGCAATCACAGGGAGCACCTCTGCATCTCTTACCAGTGGTCTGGGCCACTTTGACCAGCCCTTGCCGGAAGATGTTCTTCAGCCTTGGCTTCATGATGAAGTTTTTGGCTCCCCCCGTGACTGAGATGAGCAGGTTGGGTGCATCGAGGCCCCAGTGCTGTGTCATGAGGTGGTAGATGACCCGTGGAGGGGTGTCTGAGGAGACACGCACGTACTGCAAAAAAAAAAAGGGAGCGTGCATTCGTTTCGGGTAAAAATGACAGGGTAATGGGGCACCTCCACCACAATTCCTCCTCCTGTCCCAGCAGAGAACCAGGGGCTTCCCATGCCATTTCCCAGCAGAGTCCTGTGGCTGCTGCCCCAGCTGCTTGTGCATGACCCCATTCCCATTCGCTTCCCTGGGACTGAGTGTTCCCAAGATGAAACTAAGGACGAGGGCAGGGAACAGCCACCCCTTGAAGCACGGGCCTCCAAGCATGGAGATGGTTTCAGAAGGGGACTAGGGCTGGCAGAGAGGAGGGATCCTGTCCCACCCCCCTTCCTCTGCTTGGGTCAGTGTTGCTTTTGGGGCATTTCCATGCTTTCCTGACCTCCTCTCATTCAGGAGGGAAATGCTTGGACTTCATCTGCCACGGCAAGCCCTGAACACTGGCTGCTATGGAGGGAAAACCACCACGGAATGGAAAACCAGATCACCTTCCCCATCTTCTGCCCTAGGCCAGTGAAGTGGATATCACCGAAGGCATCTGTTGGCAGTTCCTGGATGTGCCTGCTGGGGTCCCATTCCTTTCCCAGGAAGATGGGAGGTTTGGCAGCATCTTCCAGGTGCTGTTCCCTGAGATAGCCGCACTTGCACACAACCCTCCTGAAACACACGCCACCAACGTTGCCAAAAACTGTCTGAACCCAAAAGGCAGAGCCCAGACGGCCCACCCGCCCCAGCCCAGGCAGGAGTCATCTCCCACCCCGCTCGTCCTCCAGCTCAGAACTTGTTTGGGGCAAAATCTAGCAAAAAAAAAAAAAAGGTATTTCCACCTTTAGGACAGAAGGATTAAGGTTGCTCCGGATGAAATATGGATGGAAATGACCGCACGCAAAAGCATGGTGAGGGTTCCTCGCTAGGAGATGGGGTGACGCCAGTCAGAAAGGAATTCGTGAATCCCCTTGACACCAGCTCCCTTGGCAGGAGGGTGGGATTTTCTGGCGCTTGTCACCAAACGCCCCTTCTGCTTTCCTGGCGGGGGGTGGAACAGGGGACTGCCTGACTTACCCAGAATCTGATGTCTGGGAGCTTTCAACAAAGTAGGTGCACTCTTTCTTCCGGATGTTTTCAGGAATCCACGAGATGAGATTTTCCTGAGGGAGCAGACAAAGCAGCAGGGGGGTCAGTGTTGCTGCAAAGGGCTGGCAGTTCTGCCAGGGGCCAGACAGCCCCGGTGCATGGGGCTTCTTTTGGCTGTGAAGGAAGGAAGCTCCATTGCTATCTGCAAGGGTGAAGCCAGGGGTACTCTGAGGAGGGGAGACGTGAATGCTGGATGTGTAGAATCACTGAACGGTTGAGGTTGGAAAAGCCCTTTAAGCTCACCAAGCCCAACCATTACCGTAGCGCTGCCATCTCACCACTAAACCCTGTCAGCACAAAGGACAGGCATGGAAGCTGCTCCAAACGTCCCTACTGTGCAGTTTATGCCCTCAATATCCCAACTGCATCAGCTGCTCAGACCAGTATCGCAGAGCACCCAGTTCTCCAAGGCTTTACAAAAAAGGAGGAATTGTGATCCCTGAGACCACCAAGACAGCATGAAGAATCCTTACTGCGTTCAGCATCCCTGTATCACTCTTAAGCAATAGTTATTCCATAAGTACGAAAGGAAACAAATGCACCTCAGATGTTGGGGGTTTTCCTGTCTGTCCCTAAAACTAAAGCAATCTGTTATTAATGCTCCCCTTAATGAGGACAACTCATTAGTGCTCTTCCATGGTAGGTGGCCAGACACCCCCTCTTCCAGCACCTTCTGGACTTGCCTTTTCATTGCTGCTGGTAGGGAAATGTGCCTTCCGCCGGCTCTTTGAGACGCTGCTGCTGCTCTGCCGGAGGTTGGGGACCACCTCGAAGTCGCTCATCTTCCCGGGGTGCGTGGCAGGGTTTTCCTCTCTCTCAGGGCACACCTTGTTCAGCTCGGAGGGGAGCACCTTGGCACACCGGCCACGCATGGCCATGGCTGCTGCCTCTTGCCCTGCTTGGCCGCCTCTCTCCCCTTCCTAGGCTGGGAGGTCCTGAACATCTCCATCCTGAGCACAGAAGAAAAGAAGGATACCCATGGATTTAAAGCACTGGGGAGTCCTGTCCATCATTCCCTAGGCTGAGAGATGTCCATGGGAAACCAGCTGGGCCCACACCATGGTCCCACCACAGGGGCCACGTGCGTGGTGAAGCAGCCTCAAGCAAGCACCAGCCTCCAAAAATGGGCCCTGCTGCACACTGCCCGCCAGCAATGCTGCTGGGCTGCCCACCCTGCTGCCTGCCCCCCCCCACCTCCCCAGCCATCCCTGCAGCAGTCTGGGCTTGCTCTCCGCTGCAGGCAGCTGGGATATTGCTGGAGCACAGCAACCAGCTCTCCCCTGCCGGCAGCCCAAGCCTCGCCCCGGCTGGGGAACCCGCACCAGCACACTGGCTGCAGAGCCAGGGCACACTTCCATAGGTGGGGGGGGTGTCTCGTGCCCCCTGCAACGGTCCCTCGAGAGCCCGGAGCTAAACCTGAGGTGCATGCCAGGCACACTGCATTGTGGGGGCTGCAGAGCTCCTGAGCCCTCCCGAACACTCAGAGCCCCCATTGCTGAGCTCCTGAGCAGCTGGAGCAAGGATGGAAAAGCTGCTGGGTGCCTGTGGAGCCCAAAGGAGAGTGGTGTCCCCTCAGGGGAGCTGTGATGGAGGAAGAGGTGCTGGCGAAGCTGCGGGGTCTGCAGGCCTGTGTTGGAGGAGGGGTTTGGGTGCCTTCCTGCAAGCCAAGCTCTGCATCGCACCCGAGGGTGGGGAGCCCTTCGGTGGGACAAGGAGCAAAGTCACAGCTACGACTGCATTGCCTTTGTGTCTCCTTCCCCCCAGCTCAGCGCTGCTGCAGGCAGGGAGCAGCGAGGAAGAGGCTTTTTGCCAGCTTCCCCCCCCAGGCTCCCCCTGGGAAGTAATGCAGCCCCACCGACCTTCGGAGCCAGATTTTGGCAGACTGGCTTTCTGCATCAGCACGACCCGTGGCAGGTTTAATTGCTTGAGAAAGAGCTGTCTAAATAAGGTCAAACACATCATTAATTCTTGTTCCTGGCCCCCTCGGGGCAGGCAGGCTGGTGGGGGTTTCTGGGGCACAACCACAGGCAGCTCATGCAGGAAGGGCTCTTACACTGGGGTCCTCCATGGGCACCCCGGGGGGGGGAACAACACTGCTGAGAAAACACCCAGAATACCGGAATACCTGTCCTTCAGGGCCGCAGGGCCAAGGGCAGAGCCTTGCCTGCAAGGCGCACTGCCTGGCCCCCCCGGTTTGGCGAGCGGCATGGCAGGGGGGCTGAACCCCAGGGGCTTGGCAGCCCCTGGTCACAGCACCCATCGGGACAGGGGTGCAAAGCCCCGGCCGCAGGCGCTGAGCCTGTGAACCGTGCCCACCCCGCCTGCCCCTGCGCTGGCACAACCCTTCAGCGAGGCTGCCCCTACCTTCCCCGCAGCATCCTCCGGCCGCATCGCCAGCTCCGTGCCCGTCGGAGGAATTCAGCCCTGTGTCCCTCTCCTCCGGCGGGTCATTTTGTCGCGGGAGACACACGACGATGACGAGCAGAGAATAGGACAAAGCTGCCTGCAAGCTGCCTGCAGAGAGGAGGAGATGGCAGAGGGTGGCTGGCAGCCTCCCAGCAAATGAGGCTGCGGAAGCGTTCCCTGCCGAGAAGCTGCAGCGCCCAGGCCAGCCCCTCGTTCACTCCAGCGGCTGAGTCACACTCCAGGCAGCGATTTCCACCCGCCAGCTCTGAGTGAGGGGCTGCAGGCTGCCACCAGCCCCAGGGCGGGACAGGGCACTTGGCCCCCAGCCCCTTTTGGCCGATGGGGCAAGCAGGGGCTATGCAGGGGATGGCGAGCCCCAGTGCATGGGTGCTGCTGGGAAGGACCGTCAGCCCAGCGTCTCTGCCGGAGGCATGGGGGCATCACAGGCTCGGCAAGCGCTAGCAAAATCCCCTTCCGTAACCATTGTATCAATCCACCTTTATAGCATGGAAATGTATTAATTTTATATATATATATATTTATACATATTTTATTTTTGTTGTGATGAGGCAGTGGAATTTTACATTTGTTCAACACGTCGCCTCAGCACTCGCACCCATCGCAACCCAAGGGGGGCACAGGCCTTCAGCCCCAGACCCAAAGGACGCGCTGCCTTTGGGAACCAGCATCAGCTCTCCTCCCAGGCGTCTCCCACCACGGCCCCACCACCTTTTACAGCCTTCTCCAGCAAGAGCTGTCAGGGATTCCTGGGGCCTGCTGCTGTGGGACCCTCAGCTCGCTCTGAGCTGCGGTTGCCTGTGCTGCCCAGCATCCCTGCCACGGAGCCACCGCCATAAATGGAGGCTCTGGTGTCGTCCAGGTTTAGGTAAAAGAAGCGAAAGGAGAGCCCGGCCCTGCAGAGGAGGGCTCTGGTAGCTGAGAGCGGACCATGAAGGATAATGGGCGCTCCGGGACAACCAGGGCAGCGCTGGTATCCCAGCCCCCCTGCCCCTTCTTTGAAACCCTCCCAGCCCCGCGGGCCTCCTGGGTCAGTAACGGGAGCAAGACCAACTCCAGGGACACCTGGATCAATGAAGGAGCAGCACGAACGCTGCGGGAGCAGAGGGGCTTTGCACAGCTTTACCATGATCGGCAATTGGCAGCATGGGCATTAGTGGTGAGTCCAACCGTGCTGTACCTGAATGCTTGAAGGGTACAAGAACCCTGTGTAAAACCACCCTCAGGCGCCCTGGTTTGGCTTGGGCACCTCATGTGCACAAAAATTTACCCCTGTAATTCCATGCTTTGCATCCCAGCCTCTCGCCTCAGTCCATGTGAGAATTTTCATGACACAAGCCCCCTGTGAGGAACCTCACCGTTGCACCATGGGCACCAAATGCCTTTTGGCTGGTGTTTCTCACCTCCCCATTTCAGATGCTGTCCTCCCTGCCCTGTTACGGTCCATGCCCTGAATGATCGGCTTCTCCGCTGGCTTTGCAGCCACTTAACTTGCATTTGCCACAAAATGCACTTAACAAAACCAGCATTCCTCTTCCTTGGGACACGTGCTAAGCAGCAGAGCAGGAAGGCAGCCAAGGCAGTGGATGCTGCAGCAGCGAGCAGCTTGGCCAGCCGCGGCTCACAGGTGCGTGGTCCTGGGCAACCTCAGCTCGGAGCGAGCTGAGGGTCCCGCAGCAGCAGGCCCCGGGAATCCCTGACAGCTCTTGCTGGAGAAGGCTGTAAAAGGTGGTGGGGCCATGGTGGGAGACGCCTGGGAAGAGACCTGATGCTGGTTCCCAAAGGCAGCGTGTCCTTCGGGTCTGGGGCTGAAGCCCTGTGCCCCCCTTGGGTTGTGATCGGCTTAGGTGCTGAGGCAACGTGTTGAAAGACCAGGTAGGGTGCAAAGGAAAAGGTGGTGGCGTGATCGCGCCCTTTAGCTTGTTTTCCAGCCAAAGCATGGGCCATCTACGCAATGGAGCTCTCCTGGTTTCCTTGAACAAGAGAAAACAGTTGAGGCATTTCGCTGGGAGCCCAGATGCCACTAATAAGGCAGTAAATAAAATCCATGTGCAACGCTTTATAGTTGAGTTGTAATTAACTCTGCGCTGCCAAAAGAACCAAAGCCAGAACTGCACATTAATTACACATTAATGGGGATGTTCATCCGCTCTCGGCTGGCTGGCTCCCTGGAGACCCTGGCTTTTACTTCACTTTTGTGTATGCCAAAACCACCGTGGCCTGGTGGGACGTGCATGGAGCCAGCACGCTGTGGGGTGGTTCCCGCTTCTCCTCCTAAAAGCCCAGCTTTTAAACCCAGAAAGGCTGAAAGCAAATCCTGGCATGCTCATGTCCTCCATTTGCGACAGCAGAGGAACGAGGTAAGAGCGTGAAGGGCTCTGGCCGCTCCCTGGGGGCTGTGCCCGCATGCACATCCCGGGTCAAATTCACCCGGGTTGATGTTTGTGAAGTGGAAAGCTCTTTGCTGCCGAAAAGCAGCAATCCTCCTGCCGGCGCCGCAGAGCCTCTACTGGGACCAGCCCTTGCTCTGGGTCTCCACCAGCGGTGACCCTGGCTCCGTGGAAGCCCTCTCCCCTGCGAGGGCCACCACGGTGCTGCCCTGGTGTGGCCGCTGCTGCTGCGGCTGGCAGAGGGGAAGGAGGAACCTGGCTGCAGAACTGGGGAGGATGCCTCCCTCCGGGGGTGGGAAGGCGTTCGATGACCTGGTGAGGGAGGACACACGCCCTGGACTGCCAGGGAAGGGGGTCCCTCCTGTGTCTTCCTTCCCCCATGCCCCAAAGGCATCGTTTGGGCCCATTTCTCCAAGGAGTCCCCTTGAAGGATGCCTCCTTGCACGCACCCTTTCCTAAAGCGATGCCTCTTGCCCCATGCAGACAGAGGCCAGCACTGGCTGGGAGGAAGGGAGAGGCTGGGGTGGTCCCGTGGCCACCAGCCCATCCCAGGGCAGGGATGGGCGCGCATCCCCACAGGGGCGAGGAAGAAACCAGGCACGGCCGCTCTCAGCATCCCCGGTGCCAGTCCTGGAAACGGTGGCTTGGTGGCTTGGCTCCAAGCCTCGTCCCACTCCTTGGGCAGTGGAGAATGGCCCTGTTCCCTGCTGAGGCTCGCGGTGCCCCCATACACAGCCTGGCCAGGTTTTGGGGACAGAGGAAGGGCTTTGCACTGGCTGGCACACGGGACTGCCACCAGCAGTGGGGGATCTTCAGCAGAGGGACCGGCTGCACCGCTGCCCAGGCCTCCGTTACCAACACACAGCCACATCTGTGTTCCTTCACCCCACACCATCCATTATATATGGCCAGGATGGATCAGCGGGGCTCAGTTACACGGGAGAAATTCCACTGAGGGGCTGTAACACGGTCAAGCAGCAGCAGATCAAAGCCTTTAAACACCGATCACCCGGTGAGGATCCCTTAGGGATTCAGCCTCTTAATCCCCTGGCCGGGTGCACGCT